GCACCATTTCTTTAAAACCACGATTGCATGTGCCGCTCACATTGCGATTAAAATCTCCCATGATAAATGTGCGTCCGGAACCAGTACAAATCGTTAGCAGGAACTGTCGATCGGAGTCATCTGAAATTCCTGGGGGTGCGTAGACACCAGCAATGAGCATGTCGTCCAGTTTAGTAAACACCGAATGCAGTACAGCACCGTTTTCTTCAATTGTTAATGCTCCAGCATCGTGTGCTCGCTCAATCAATTGCTCCGATTTCTCCAGCTTTTCTACCGGGCCCTGCGCAATCAGTACGCGATAGTGGTCGAAATCCGGTAACACATATTTGCTCCTTTGTCAGTGTCCAGGTCTCTCCGAGGAGTATTACATCACTTGTTCTGAATACTGGATCGTTCTCGGTTTGCTTACTATGCTTCCGGAAACTCTGCACGTTGTGATATAGTATTTGTACAGCGGCATGTGTCTCGTGCAGAAATTTAAATGCCGGCATCAGCAAGCACTGGTCGCCTCAGTTCCAGTTGCAGAGGATCATCAGGGTGAGGCTTTTTTGGCGCTACAAAAGAGCCAGTAATGAAAAGGCCTGCCAATGAAGTAACACGTGACAGAGCTACATAAAGTAAAGCTCGTGTCATTCTTCGTGTTGTGTGAACGATAACAGATTTATACGTCTGGCCCTGGCTCTTGTGATTCATTATTGCTTCGGCTGGAACCATTGGGAATTGCTTCTGAAGCACTTGCAAATTTGACGATTTATTGCGTTTTATCGTCACAGTTGCGGGCTCCAGTGGTGTCCAGTCCGGAGGATATTGCAATCCAGCAATGATAGCACAATATCTTCTCCGAAAACTGGTACCCACCGTGGGCTCATCAAACACCATCCATACGCGTATTGGTTTCCGCGGTGTATTTACGTCGGGGCGTTGTCGTGACATATCGGTGTGCACTAGTCGCCCCGTAGCACCGTTTGTGAGTCCGTCACTTGTGCCCAAATTATACGTGATCATGTACCGCGCTCCAACTTTGAGCTGCAGCACACGTGGCAAGCCCATTGTTTGCTGTGTGGTCACGCGATCATTGCTAACACTTAACAGAATGACGCGCTTGGCGGAATCGGATCCGTCTTCAGCAACACGATCCGACGCTTCGCTTACTGT